ACTTCTTTGTTTGCAAAATCAGGGTCCTGGGCTATATCATCTCCAAAGTTATTCCACTCCCAAAAGTCAGAAAGGGACTTCATTTATCCTAGAAAGAACGTCAGCAGAAGTTGAAACCACGGTGCTCTTCTGGTCAACCTTCATGTATTCATTTGGTATTCAGCCAACATTTGCAAAGTGCTTACATTACAGTGTTTTGAGGGACTGGATAAAAACACATAACAGATAGTTCTCCGTGGACTAAGCAGTGACTTCTGAGCAAGATGTGGTGGAGGGAACCAGATCTGCCAAGAACATTTTGGCAGAACATCACTGTCTTTCTCAGCTAGGAGGTTGGACAAAACTTTCTTCTCAAGAATAATTCTCCAGGGAGGGGACTTCCTTAAAACTTTTGTCTTGAGTTATAGGGGAAACTTGGTCTTAAGAACTGTGAGGTTTCAACAGGGTTGATGGGATGAAGAAAACATTTTTTGAAAGGTTTAAGCAAATTTTTGGTTTCACCTCTGGGACAGGCTACAGCTGTTCCTTTGTTCTGGGAAGACTATGTGAATAATGATAATGGTACATGATTCTGTATACTGCTTCCTGCCAGGTACAGTACTAAGACCCATTCATTTAATCCTCATAACAGACTGTAAGGGAGGTATTATTATTAATCCCATTTTGCAGATAGGGAAACTGAGGAACAGAAATTTAAGGAAACTTACTCAAGATTACATACAGTAAGTAGTAGGGCTGGAATTTGAACCCATACGCCTGGCAAATTGTGCTCTTAACTCCAACCACTGATGCCTCCTTAAATGGGTCTATCTGTGACGTAAAAATAGAGCTAGGATTACCTTATGACCTAGCGTATTAGTTTCCTGTGGCTGCTGTAACAAATTAACATTAACTTTATGGTTTAAAGCAACACAAATGTATTCTCTTATAGTCCTGGTGGTCAGAAATCCAAAAGAAGGTCTCACTGGGCTAAAATCAAGGTGTTGGCAGAGCTATGTTCCTTCTGGAGGCCCTAAGGGGAAATTTATTTCCTTGATTTTTCAGAGGCTGCCTGCATTCCTTGGATCATGGCCTCTTCCATCTTCAAAGCCAGTAATGTCCAGATGAGTCTTTTTCACCCTGCACCACTCTGACACTTTGCCTCTTTTGCCTCCCTCTTTCCTTTATAATAACCCTTGTGATTACAGTGGGCCCACTTTGATAACCCAAGATAATTCCCCCATCTCAAGATCCTTAATCACCTCTGCAAAGTTACTTCTGCCACATAAGGAAACATGTTCACACGTTCCAGGAGTTAGGACATAGACATCTTTAGGGGGCTATTATTCTGCCTGTCACACCCAGTAATTCCACTTGTAGGTGTATCCCCAAGAGAACTGAAAACATGTCCACTGAAAACATGTCCACACAAACACTTGTATATGAATGTTCATAGCAGATTCATAGCAGAAGTGGAAACAACCCAAATGTCCATCAACTGATGAATGGATAAACAAAATGTGGTATATCCTTACAATGAAATATTATTGGGCCATAAAAAGTAATGAAATACTGATACATGCTATGACATGGTTGGACTTTAAGAATATTATGCTAAATGAAAGAAGCCAGAGACAAAAGGCCACATAATGCACAATACCATTTTATGAAATGTTTGGAAAAGGCCAATCTATAGAGACAGAAAGTAGATTTGTGGTTGCTGGGACCTGGTGGTGGGAAGAGGGAGTGCTGCAAATGGGCATAACGGATCTTTTGGGGATGATGGAAATGTTCTAAAATTAGATTGTGGTCATGGTTGCACAAGTCTATATATTTACTGCAAATTATTGAATTGCACACTTGAAGTGAACTGTATGACATGTAGATATGTCAAAAAAGCTATTTTTATGAATAAAAATGGCTGATAAACTTTAGTAACTCAGAATGTCATGCTGTCAAATTGCAACACACTGAAGATGGATTTAGAGTGTTTCAGAGGCCTCTGATGGGGGGCAGTTTGGTAATGCTGGTTGGTCTTCATGTTGATGACAGACAGGGATGGATAAAGACCAAAGCAAGAGAGAGACAGGAAACTGGAATGGAGGACAGGAGACAGAAGACATGGGTCAAGAAATAGACAGAGAGGATGGGAGAGATGGAATAGAAAATGGAAGGGAAAAATAAATCACAGAAGGGTCGGGATGGAAAGAGAACTGGTGGGGGACTGGAAGAGTGACATGTACTGCCCTTTATGAGGGCAAAGATGTCCAGACAAAGGAAGGGCCCATGCAGCAGCATCTAGGGACACACAGAGGAGGCTGACAAATGCTACTAACAAACCACTCTCTTGGTTGATAATCCTCGTTAAAAGCTGTTTTTTAAAATAAGAAAGACAGAATGAGTACACAGTGCATACATTGAAGAAAAGTTGCCAACCCTTTTCCTTAACAAGGACTGTCTTTTATTCTGCGATTATTTCCTTCCCACCTTTGTTTTTTAAAGTTAATATGTCTTTTCTTTCTGGAAGTTATGTGATAGAAAATGGCAGTAATCGTTTTTTATTGTCTTTTCTTGGAAAGTCTCTGAGAACTGTAATGATATGTGAAGTCCAAGAGTTTGGGAAGCCCTACGCCAGCTGATCTGTAGAGCTAAAAGAGGTCTCACGGATCAGCGAGTTCAACCCTTTCATTTCCAAGATGAGAAAGGGTTGGAGGCCCACGGTGGTGGAGCCATTCATCCGAGGTTGCCTAGTCAGCCTCTGGGTAGTTCACTTTGTTTCTGCTCTCATCACTTCCTCCAAGGTGCCTTCTGATTCCAGGAATCTAATTTATCTATCTGCCTATCAGTTCACACTAAGGCATGACATTCTAGGCAGGTCAAAATGTTACAAGGATTCATCCAGGACATAGTTCTAGGGGAAATGCTTGGCTCCACTGAGCTCAATTAATCTGGATAAGTCACCTGACCCAGACCAAGTTACACTGCCACATGACATCCAAAGGCAGTGAAGTACAACTGAGAAATGACTATGAAGGGCTTATTGGCCCAAAGGAGATGTTGCCCATTTGTGTTGGTAACTAAAGGTACTTCCCCAAAACTCAGCAGAGTGAGACATGTGACTTGTAACCCCTGGGGTTAGATCTCAGCGCTACATTCTCAGTTTTATTTTTGCTGCTGAAAATATACTGCAAAGGCACCTGTGAAAATGTCTGGATTCCCCAAGGGTCAAGGCATTTGGGGAATGCACAGGTGAATCAGGTGTTCCATCTTTATTTATTTACATCTAGTCTTATTCTAGAAAGGATTGAAGGCAGCTTTCAAGGATGCATAAAATATAAAGAATGTAAACTGAAAGAGAGAGTGGTGATAGGGAAATAACCTAAGTGTCCATCAATAGATGAATGGTTATAGAAGGTATGGCATATGTATACAATGGAATACTACTCAGCCATAAAGAAGAATGAACTTTGTCATTTGCAACAACATACATGGACTTGGAGGGTATTATGCTAAGTGAAATAAGTCAGTTAGAGAAAGACAAATACTGTATGATATCACTTATATGTAGAATCTAAAAAAACCCAACAAACTAGTAAATATAACAAAAAAGAAACAGACTCACATATATAGAGAACAAACTAGTGGTTACCAGCTGGGAGAGGGGAGGGGGAAGGGGCAAGATAGGGATAGGGAATCGAGAGGTATAAACTATTATGTATAAAATAAGCTATAAGGATATACTGTACAACACAGGGAATAAAGCCAATATTTTATAATAACTGTAAATGGAGTATAAACTTAAAAATTATGAATCACATAGTGTACACCTGTAACTTATATAATATTGTACATCAACTATACCTCAATTTTTTTAAGTTAAAAAAAGGGAGAGTGATGCTGAAGTTATGGAAATATAGAAGTCATGTTCTGACCTGAAACCCAACTTTTTATTAAAAATGTCTGTAAAAATATTCAATTAAAAATTTTACACTTCAGTCCTAAAATACAAATTTAAAAACTTTATTGCAATATAATTTACATACCATAAAATTCATTCTTCAAAGTGTACAATCCAATCGTTTTTAGTATATTCACAGTTGTGCACCCATCACCAACATCTAATTTTAGAACATTTTCATCACTCCAAAGAGAAAAATCTGTACCTGTTAGCAGTCACTCACCATTTTATCTCAGTTCCTGGAAACAACTAATCTACTTTCTGACTCAGTAGATTTGTGTGATAGACATTTCATATAAATGGAATGATATAAATACAGCCTTCTGTAATTGACTCCTTTCACTTATAATGTTTCCAAGGTTCATCCATGTTGAGTAAAAGTATAAATAAATCAAGAGAATGAGAAGACAAGCCTTAGACTGGAGAAAATACTTGCAAAAGACATATCTGACAAAGGACTATTACCTAAAATATAAAAAGAACCCTTAAAGCTCAACAATAAGAAAATTAACAGCCCAATTAAAAAATGGGGAAAAAACCTGAACAGACACACCAAAGAAGATATAGAGATGGCACATAAGCATATGAAAAGATGCTCAACATTGTATGTCATTTGGAAATTACAAATTAAAACAACAATGAGATACCACTACATTACGTACCTATTAGAATGGACAACATCCCAAACACCGAAGACACTGAATTCTAGTGAGAAGGTAGAATATGAACTCTCATTCATTGCTGGGGAGAATGCAGAATGGTTCAGGTATAGTCGCTTTGTAAGACAGTTTGACAGTTTTTAATAAAACTAAACATCCTTTCACATGATGCAGGAATTGTGCTCCTTGGTATTTACTCAAGTGACTTGAAAACTTACGTCCACACAAAATCTGCACATGGATGTTTACAGCAGCTTTATTCATAACTGCCAAAAATTGGAAGCAACTAAGTTGTCCTTTAGTAGATGAGTGGATAAATAAACTGTGATAATCCAGACAATGAAATACTACTCAGTGATGAAAAAGAAATGAAGTCTCAAGCCATAAAAAGACATGGGAGAAACTTAAATGCACATTATTAAGCAAAAGAAACCAGTGCAAGAAGGCTATGTACTATAGGATTCCAATCATATGACATTTGACAAAGGCATAACTATGGAGACAGTGAAAAGATCAGTGGTTGCCAGAGGTTTGAGGTGGGGAGGGATGAACAGGCAGAGCACAGAGGATTTTTAGGGCAGTGAAACTATTCTGTACAATACTGTAATGGTAGATCAATATCATGATACATTTGTCAAAATCCACGGACTGTACAACACCAAGAGTGAAACCTAATGTAAATTGCAAACTTTGGGTGATAGTAATGTGTCAATGTAGGCTCACTGATTGTAAGAAAAGCACTACTTTGGTGCAAGATGTTGATTTGAGGGGAGGCTATGTGCATGTAGGGGACAGGGAGGTATATGGAACTCTCTATACTTTCTGCTCAATTTAGCTATGAACCTAAACTACTCTAAAAAATAAAACCTACTGAAAATAGCCAAAAATAAATAAATAAACCAAATAGCACACCAAGAAACTACCACATATACCTGACTTTAGTATTACGCATAAGTTGTGATGGTTCCAGTGTAGTGGATGCTCTTGGTGCCCAGCCCAGGATCCCTCCCCTGGGCCAACACACTACCTCCTGCCTGTAGGTGTTGGCTGCTAAAAGCTCATCCTGCACCTTCTCAGGTTGGTTCCCACTCTGCCTTTGGCTAAGGGAAGCTGTCCCCCGCCAGGAGATGACTGGGGTTACACCCCCTCTTCATGGCCAATGACTAGCCAATGTGCTCAGCCCTCTTGCCTCTGTGGTACAGGGTGTGTTTCAGAACTCCTCATGTGATCAGGATGAGGCCCACTTCTTCCTGAACCCACATCTCTGTAGAGTTCCTTCCTTTGCCCTGCCCTTTCTGCCACTGCCCTTTAGGTTTCTCCTGACAGTTTCTTTATGACAGTTCCTGTGGACTGTCCCTGTCTTCCTAGTACACCTGATTTGTTTTGCAAAATATTACATGAAAGGTCATCTTAAAAGGTTAGGATAATTCACTGTCCACACTGCTGCTTTGACAAAAGCAAACAAAATACTTTTTCTGCACTGGTGGTAAAAATCTGAGACATACAACACTGCACCTGCGTCTGACTCCACAAAACCAAGTCTCTGCCTCCCAGGCATAACTTTTTACATTAGAAGAGTGATTTTGGAGAAAAAAGAAGTGGAAGTAAAAGAAGAAAGAACTGTGGTGACATACAATGTGGCCAGAAAGTGAGTCTGAAAAACTGGGTTTCCTTTGGGTGGGCCATGGATTTTGCAGAGTCTTGTGTTTACACACACACACACACATCTGTGTTCATTTATACAATTCAGTGTCTCCCCTTTAGGACCCAACTGTATCAAGGCCAGAAAGAATTTCTACCTTGGTCCTTCTGGAAAGCATACCCCACAAGGTAATGAAGACAACATTAATAATATCTTTGGGGGAGAAAAACCCCAGCTCAGCTTGATTCTTGACTCCTAATCTTCAGGCTTAACTCCTTTATAGACTTTGGGCCATTTATTTATTTTCACTGAGCCTTCATTTTTTTTAATCTGTAAAATGGGAACAGTAATAGCCAATACTTCATTGATTTTATTAGTTAATCTTCTATAGACGACTATATGATAAAATAATACTCTGCTAACAGGTCCCAAGCAAGCATTAAAAAACCTGACAGCTTTAATACTAAAGGGAAAAAAAAGATATTTTAACACTGGACTCTTGAGGTCCTTGACTTCAGGCCGGCCTCCGATTACCCTACAACCTCCTCCTCTTCTGTCATCACATGGTATTTACTGAGCACTCACGGGACTGCAGAAGGCTCATGTTCCTCTTGCTAGATCTGCTTTGTGGTGACAGGGCTTTTTGGCAACAGAACTCCCTTCTCCGTCTCCTGTAGGTGAATCTTAGGCCTGTCTGGGTGTTCTGGAACAGTGGTGGGATACAACCTTTACCTTATTTTCTTTTGTAGTAGGGTTAACATTTACACAGTACCCTCAGATGTGCAGGAAATACTGTGTTCCTCTAGGTCCTTCAACTAGATCTTGTAGGGTAAGGTAGGAAAAGGGAGATGGCTTAAAGTTGCCACTTAGAGGCTTCTCAGATTCTTCTGGTTTAAATTACTTTCCTTCAGATTTTTTTGAAAAGGGATTAGTCTTTCAGACTGTCTTCTTGGTGGCAGAAATGGCTGGATGTCCCCAAATATCCATTCTTTCTTACTTCCTTTCATAATACAACTCCTGAGTTTTAGCCAGGCCCATGGCCACCCCAACTAAAGACTACATTTCCCAGCCTTCCCTGAAGCCTCCGTTCTGGCCAATAGGGTGTAATATACATGCACATTCTCCACCCTGCTGCCTGGAATGTGTCATGGTGTGGAGCCATCCTGGACCAAATGAAGCCAACGATCTAGGACTGGAAGAGCTCAAGACAGAAGGAACCTGGGTCCCCACACCAGGGAACTTAGCTCTATCAGCCCTGGACTGCTAACACTTGAAGTGCTTCATGAGAGAGAAAATTACCTTGTTTATGTCACTGTCACTTTGGTCTTTGTCATAGCAGCTGACTCTGCATTCTAACTAATACACTTTCTGTTCCCTCTTGTCTCTTCCCAATGGCATCTGGAGACAGGGTAGACACATGGAGCCTTGTGGCCATAGGAAGTGGACTCAATTCGGTTCTCTGCTGACGGGCTCACAGGCTGAAATCTAGGTGCTGGCCAGTCTGGGTGCCTACTTGGATGCTCTGGGGAATAATCCACTTTCAAGCTTATTCAGCTGGTTGGCAGAATTACATTCCTTGCAGTTGTAGGACTGACATCCCCATTTCTTTGCTGGCAGTCTGCTGGAGGCCTCTCTTAGCTCTTCAAGCTGCCTGCATGCCCGGGACTCCTCCATCTTCAAACCAGCAACGAATCTCTCTAACACTCGCCAGAGAAAACACTGCTTTCAAAGGGCTCATGCAATTAGAGTAGGATCCCCCGCCCAGATAATCTCCCTTTTGCCATACAACATAACCATGGGAATGATACCTCATCATATTCAGTTTTCCCCGATACTGAACGAAGAACAGATTATATATGAGTGAGGGTTATGAAGGCCATTTTTAGACTACTGCCTATCACAGAATTAAATAAATACTTACCTATTGACTGGAAATCTTTAAGAAACAACCAAGAAGAAATGGTACCTCCCCTGGGTACAAAAGCACAAACTGCACTTACCTTTATCATGCCATTTAATTCAACTGATATTTAACGAGCACCTACTATATGACAGCTACACTCTTAGACACTAGATATAGAAATAAATAAGATAGATTGGGCTTTGCTCACAAGCAATTCTAGTGGAGCCCCAGGAAATTTACTAACAAATATATAAAGTAAGAGAGTAAAGCTAGGTAAAAGGCTAGAGAATGGTGGAGGTTTGAGTGCTATTTTAGGTCAGCTGGCCCAGGACAGCCTCTCTGACGAGGAGGTGCCATTTGGGCAGAAGCTAGCTATGTGCCTGGAAGGGGAAGGGCATTGCAGGAAAAGGGAACTGCATACATAAAGGCAAGAAAGCTGTCGGGCTGGAGTGGAATGAGTCATGTAGCAGGAAATGAGGTCACAGGGATAGGCAGGAGTAAGGTGATGTTAGCTGGGCAGGATTTTATTCTGGAAAGGATGGAATGGTTTTTGAGCTGGAAATGCTGATGAAAAGTTTTAGAAATAGAGAGTGGTGATGGTTGCACAGTAATGTGAATGTAATTAATGCCAATGAACTGTACATATAAACATGGTTAAAATGGTAAATTTTATGTTCTATCTGGTTTACTATAATTTAAAAAAAAAAAGAAAAAGAAAGATAAAAAGAATAAATGGTACTTGGTCAGAACAAAAACAAAGGGAGTCAGGAGCCAGAGGGAACAGTATAATTAAATGCCCGGTGAAACGGAGGGTATGAAACCTTAGAAAACAAACAAACAAACAAAAAACAAATCATCTGAAAAAGGCCCAAGGGAGGCTTCCTGGGTGTGGCCAGGCTGTTTTTCATCTGGGTGCTGGTCACCTGAATATGTCTGCTTTGTGAAAATGTACTGAGTTGTACATTTATAATTTGTGCATTTTTCTCTATGTACGTTATACTTCATTGGAAATATTTAAGTTTAAAAGTAAGTTCAGTCTGTCTGCGTTGGGAGGAATAGACTGTAGGGACCCTCAGTGCTGAGGCTCATGCCCCACACTTATCATGTACTCTGTGAATAGCTGACACTTGGCTGGACCATGAACTAAGTTTTTCCATTACAGGTATAACTTCATTCAATCTTTACAACAACCCTATGAAGCACAGAGAAGTGAAGTGATTACCCAGGGTCACGCAACCAGGAAGTGGGAGAGATGGAATTGAAACCCAGGCAGTCGGGATCCACATTCCATCCCTGTAACCATCACATCCAAGGGAATGAATGGATGAATGAAGGATATTTTCAGCTCTCTCTCTCTCAACATGGGGGCTGTGGATTTTGTACCCACCCCACCCACCCCGGTGGACTTTTGGCAAAGTCTGGAGACATTTTTGGCTGTCAAAACTTGGGAGAGGTGGGTCGCGGCCAGAGATGCCGTTAAACATTCTATACTGCACAGGACACTTCCCTCCCCACAGACCTCAAAGAACGACTGGGACCCCAAACGTCAAGAGCACTGAGAAGTGTTGAGAAACCCTGCGTTAACTCTAACCAGCATCTTTCACACTCTCCCCAACTCTTGTTGCTTTGTAATCTTAATCTCTCATTCTATCTCCCACTATTAGATAAAAAAAAGAATGAATCTGAAATGGTGCCTCATTGCTTTTATCTCTTGTGAGAGTCATCTGTCACATTCACATCCACCCGAGCCTCATTAACCTCTGATTGCATGATATGGTGGCAAGAGTCCCAGACTGTGACTTTCCTTGTGAGAATTCTGCTGGGGGCATTTGACAGGGAGGTCCCTGTGCCTATATATCCACAGGGAGCCTGTCACCTTCCGGCCACCTGTGCCATCCTGCCACTGGGGCACTGTTTTGGTGCCTACCTCTCTGCTTCTGGCACTTCCCACATCATGCTGCCATCCATGCGTGGGTACCAGGAGCCCAGGCAGTGCCCAAGGTCAGATTCCCATCTTCTTCTCCTCACTGGGATTCTTAATTTATAGCCCAGCAACCAAAGGCATCCTATCAACACAAAGGGTAGCTAACATTAATAGGGCACTTACTTGGTATTAAGTACATGTTAACAAATTTAATTTTGGTCTCTCAGAGAGACCTTATGAAGCAGGTACTGTTTTTTCCATTTGACAGTTGAGAAAGTCCAGGCACTGAGAAGCTAAGTAACTTGGTCAGGTCACACAGCTAAGTGGGAGAATGGGGATTTGGATCCAGGTAGCTTGATGGCAGAGCCTACCATGTACAACCTGTTCCCATTCTAGGTCTCTGGCATCTCAGCCTACTCTTTATGGCTGGTCTAGGTGAGCCACCTTACAGGCTCTTCTGAGGCTCACCTGACCATCACCATGGCAATCCCCAGCAACCCCCCATTGGCCCTCAACCTTCAGCCACCTTCTCTTGCCCCACCTCTGAGCTCTCAGCCCACACTGCTGCTGAGGGAGACCAAGGGGGCTACCCCTGCCCTTTGTTTGCCTAAATATGCCCAGCATCAGGCCATCACTTTTATTCCATCTCAATTGTCAAAGCTTAACCATTTATTCTGGGTGAACTGAGGCAACGGTTAAGGACACACTCTGCCTCTCTTACTAGACAGTAAATTCTCAAGGGGAAGGAACAGAATCCGATTTCTCTCCATGTTCAGCTACACCTGGCACATAATGCTAATGCTCCCCATGGAGGAAGACTCAAAACATGGTGGTCATGAGAACTGGCCTTGGGCTTGGACAGATCTGGGCTTGAATCCCATGGTAACTTGTGAGCTGTGATCTTGGGCCAAGTACTTAACTTAGGGTTGGTAAACTTTTTCTGTAAATGGCCAGACAGTATATATTTTTGACTTTATGGGCCATATAGTCTCTCCTTTAACTACTCAACTTTGCCTTGTTCCCCAAAACAGCCAGAGATAATACCTAAACCAATGGGGGTGACTGTGTCCTTACAGACCTTTACTTACAAAATAGGCAGTAGGCCCAGAGTAGTATGTCAATCCATGATTTACTGTAAAAAAAGATTGTAAAGGAAGATCAAATGAGATAACCCTTGAATGTAGTCATAGGTCTAGCGTGATGTTGGGCAGATTGCACTTATTCTCTCACATTAATTCCATCCCATTCAACATTCTGTGCTCTAAAACATGGCATCTACACAAACGAACTATTTATGAAACAGAAAGAGACTCACAGACATAGAAAACAAACTTATGGTTACCGGGGAGGAAGGGTGGAGGGAGGGAGACATTAGGAGTTTGGGGTTAGCAGATACAAACTACTATGTACAGGATAAATAAACAGGGTCCTACTGTATAGGACAGGGAACTATATTCAATGGCTTGTAGTAACCTGTAATGAAAAAGAATATGTATGTATTTATATGTATAACTGAATCACCATGCTGTACACCAGAAACTAATATAACATTGTAAATCAACTATACTTCAATAAAAACCAAACACAATCATGGCACCTGTATGTATAGTATTTCATTTTTCTCTCCCTGTGAGATAATACCAAACGTTTGAGAAGTAGCATTGCATAAGGGTTAAAGGCACAGGATTCCAGAACTGGACTGCCTGGGTCCAAGTTCTGGCTCTGCCATTTCAGAGGTCTGTGAACTTCAGAAAATTAACCTCCCTGACATACCTTCCTATAGTTGCCCTACATGTAAAGCTGGGATGACAATAACAGTGTCTACCTCTCATGCGGCTGCTATCAGAATTAAATGGCTCTACACATGGAAACATCTGGGGATCTTTAAAGAGTCCAAAACCCAAGCCACGCGCAGACCAATGGACTCACAATCTCTGGGGTGAGAAGGAGGTGTCCGTTTCTGAAGCTTTCCCAAGTGTTTCTAATGTGTGGAAAAGTTTGGAAACCGACGTTTAAACTCCGTACGCTGAGTCTGAGCCTTCGGCGGACACTTCTGGAATCACTGCGCCCCCTGCTCCCACGCACGCCAGGACTCGCTGCTCTAGCTCACCGCGTACCTGCTGCCTCTGGGCCCAGAAGGCCGGGCCGGTGCACGCTGGGAATTGTAGTCCCTCCGGCTCTCCGGCCTCGTCCCCGCCTCCCATTGGCTTTCGCAGACGCCCCGCCCCGAGGCTCCGCCAGTCACCGTGGCGCAGCAGGCCCTCAAAGCTGGGGAGCGAGGGCGCAGCGCCGCAATCACTGCAGGGCTGACGTCTGGAGGTGGCTCTTCTTGCGATTGCGCTCTGCCAGGAGTTCCCACGGTCCGGCCGCAGGTAACCGCGAGCCTCGGCGGGGGTTTGGGGTCGGGCCCCACGCCCGGGTCCAGGGTCGCCCATCTGCCGTGGCTCTTGGCCTTACGGCCGGGATTTTCAGTTTCCCCGGCCCGTTCTGAGTAATCCATTTCTCATCCAGCGAACGGGAATTTAGGCAAACCATGACGCCCAAGGGAAACCCTGCGACTTCTCAGCCTGACATCTGGTGGGGTTGTTATGGTGTGGGAGGGGCTCTTTTTGTTGCGAGGTCTCTGGCTGGTAGCCCGGTCTCCTCCGAGCGCTGGGAGAAACGGGCACTAGAGGAGGTCCCATGGCCAGCGAGTGCCAGGCGGGGTCTGGGGCTTGGTTCTGATCTTCAGAATCTAGAAACAGTTGAGGATGTTGGTGCTTTTAATGTAGAAGATTGCACCTGTTTCCAGTTAGTTCTCAGTAGCCTGAGAGAGGGCTTATGTTAACCACCACAACAAACATACCCAAACGTATAAAAACATCCCTTCCAAGAAGCCAGAAAAGCTGTACTTCTCAGAGACTGGAGCTGTTGGAGTTACAGGATGATTCACATCGACTGTGGAAGTCAAAGTTAGCTGTATCCCTGCCCCTACCTATTAGAGTTGAGGTTATACCTACATGTGTGTAATTCCGTGCCAGGAACTGCAGAATCTGTGGGGTGGGAGAAGGAACTTTGACTTACGTGCTTTGAGAGTTGAAAACAAATGCCCAAGGTTTGAGACTTGCCTTGCAGTATGTAGGAGAGTAGCCCAGCTTTCTTTATTCCGAGGCTGCATTAGTTAGCAAACATTTATTGAGCCTTACTAAGCTTTTTCAGCAAGGATTATTTCATACAGAGAGGCAGTCTACAGTGAACCATGCTAGTGTTACAGAGGCAGCATCTAACCCTGACTTGTGGGAAGAGGTAGAACTTTGCAGAGAAGAGGGTGATTGAATGGAGTTTGAGAGTTGGACAGGAGCTAATGAAATGAAGAAGAGCGTTTTGCCTGGAAAACGGAATGATGAAGGCAGGACAAAGGCACCAATTTTGGACCTGGAGTCCAGGAGCCTGACTGGAGCAAGGAGTTTCATTTGGATAGTGGAGAACAGAATTACAGGGCCTCCTGTGCTGCTGTAAGAGATTTTGATTTCATCCTGAAAGCCCTGGAAGCTGAATTTAGTGGATGTGTGTCTTAGATGCTCTCTGGTGTGACAGGGTGTTGGAGAGGCCACACTAGGGAGCTCATTGCAGTAATTCCCAGGAGAACTGTTGAGTGTTTTAAAGACAGTTGCAGTGGGAAGGGAAAGGAAATGAGAAAAGTGTTGTGAACTATTAAGGGGTGAACACCCTACGCAGTATTGTTCAGTAAAAATATATTGAAACGAATTCTGTCTCTTGAGTTTTCTACCTATGATTATCTTTTAAGGAAATGATGAGCATTTATTTCCCCTTAAACTGCAGAAATTGCCTTGTAGACCAAAATTCAAATCCTAGTTTATGATGGGGAGATTGTCACATGTGTTGAGCATGTTGAAATCTGAATGGTTAAACATATGACTCGAATTTTCTTGTAATCCAGGAGATGCAAATAAAACCCATAAGTAGATCACTTTTTATCCATCATATTAGGAATTATAAAGTTTGATGCTATCAAGAGATGATAAGTATTTGGAAGTATATCTTAGAACAGTACAAATGCTAGCAAAACAGGTATATCTTAAAGACGGAGTGGTTCTACTTCTGAGGTACCCTCGAGAAAGAGACATTTGTATACAAGGGGATGAGTAAAATGAAGTTTTTTGCAACATTGTTTTTAAGGGTAAAAAAATTGAAACAGCCTAAATGTCTGTTAGCAGGGAAATGTTTATAAGGTGAATATGTATTTTTAAATGTATACTGAATTGACTGGAAAGAAATAAGATAGTGTTTACCTTATGGTATGGGAAGAGTGGGACAGGACATTGTAAAGTATTTTATCGTTAATGTTTTATTTGTTTATGGGGAAAGAGGTTTTTAACAGATTTACAAAATATTAACAGTGATGATCTGGATGATGGTATTATTTTAGGTTATACTTTCAAAATTTCTGTAGTTTAATGTGTATCCTTAAAATATAAATTATAGCAAGTTAAACTTAAGAATTAATATCTAGCTATAAAACTCATGTTCAGTCATTTTGGGAAAAGGCTACAAACTACATTAATACCAGGTTTCAAAAAATAGTAATTTGAGTAGAAGAAATTCACATGCCAAATAAGCAGTGAAAATAAAAATGGGGAAAAAAAACCATTAACCATTGGCCAAATTTTACTTTGCTGGATTCCTAAATTCTTCTAACCATTAACAGATTTTAAAGATGCTTTCTTGATTATGTCTGTTTTGAAATATGATTTAGTTGCTTGTACCTTTTGTAATGTTAAAAGTTAATTTTTAAAAAGTAAAGTCATCACTCTGAACAGATGTAAAAATGAACAAGTGTTGAAGATTATATTTAGCTTATTAATGAGGAAACTTAGTGAGGTGTTACAACCAGTTTAAATGAGACTCCAAAGTACAAAGTACACTTGTAAATTAGAAGCGTCGTAATGTGCGATGGGAGACAAAACTGGCTTCTTCGTACAATGGAGGAGTCACTTGAACCTCCACTTGATATAATTAATTTACATGTCTTTAGGTAAGAATTATCAACAGTATTTGCATTGCTCTTACCCACAATTTATCGAGTTGTAAAAAAAAAATGCCGTAGAATCAAAGTTAGATAACTTTGAAGGACGTGCTCTAATCTAGAATCTGGTTTGCCACTGAATCATACATTTTCCCTTTGGGGGCAAGAAAAAAGTTGATTAACTAACTTGAACAAAATCCATTTTTCACTTGAGATTTGAGATAAGACCTAGTTGGATTTTGTTTTCATTCCACTCTTTAAACAGGAAATCAAAGGATTTGAGAACTGAGTGGGTCCTTAATAATTTAATTCTACCCTCTCATTTCCCAGGTGGACAGTTAAGGCCCAAAGGGGAAAGGGTCTTCCCAGAGCTGGTAGGACACCATGTGTCCTGTGAGAAATTGCACCTGATACTTGATAAAGACAGCAACGTGGCTTTTATTCCAGCTGTTGCATTAGAGGAGGGAGACTTCAGTCTAGAACTGAGCTCAATTCCAAATACAGCGAGGAGAGCTGAAATTTATCACCAGTAGACAGAGTGAGAGGGTCAGTGCATGAAAAATTACTAAGTGGAGCTCGATTAGATATCAGAGATGGAAGGTTCTTGCAGGATTTTTGCTAAACCTGGGCTCAGCAGGCCAAGATCTAGTTGAGAAGAGGATTCAGAGGCTCTTGACTCAAGTTTGGTGAAGGAGGGGTCCTTGTCACCCGTCTTTGTTTCTCCTGCATGTTGTCAGCCAGGGACAACTTGCATGATGATTTTTTTTTTGTAAGCCCCTGGAGAGCAGAGAGCAGGATCAAAACCCTTCAGGTTTGAAAGGCTCTTTACAGATGTTTTATCTACACAGCTGCTTTGCCTGGCTTTGATAAGGCTCGCTGTTTCTAACCCAGAGCAAGAAGAAAATGAGGGCTGATATGAGAGGTCACGATGGTGGTTAAAGTGTGGGCTTCAGTGTCAGACCTGGATTTGAACTTGATTCTGCTGTTTAAATGGTCCTGTAGCCTTGTTACTTGTGTTGCTGGTGACAGTTTATCTAGAATGGGTACTCTGTCCGAAAGCTCCCAAATGGATTGAAGCCCACTGGATGGTACACTTCTTGAAGTCACGTGGAGTATTAATTGAGTCACTGACCTTGTGTAGCCCTGCAGCCTGGGAGGGTCTCAGGACCAAGTGGGAACAGAGGGGACCCGACATTGGAGGCTGGTCGAGTTCATTCATACAGGCTTGTCCGTTGACTTTGACTTTGGGTGGTTCAGGCTCTCCTTTGATGGGCACTTCTTCTATGAGCTTTTTATACCGGTTACCCACAAGCGCCTTAAAATAGTCGGGTGCTGAAGAACGCTGCGGTATTCTCCTGCTGGGGGAAGCTTGGAGGCGCCAGAGTGTGGGGTGTAGTGCTCCCACCTGTGGTTATGGGGCCTCCCAGATGTTCACATAAGCAGCGCTTTTTTGTGACAAGTGTGGTGGTGTGGTGGAAAAAGCAGCCTTTGGTATCAGATCTGTGTGTCGGTCCCAGCAGTGCGACTTTCTGCCAAGTTTCTCCACCTCTCTGGGTCTGTTTTTTCTTTCTTTCTTTCTTTCTCTCTTTCTCTCTTTCTTTCTTTCTTTCTTCCTTCCTTCCTTCCTTCCTTCCTTCCTTTCCTTCC